GTGGGTATCAGGACACCACTTTCTTCCATAGAGTTTAAGAGGGAAAGTATCAGCTWGGTGCTTTTGATTAAAAATATTGACTGACTGGTCATCCTCAGTGTGAGCACCTTTGTAAAGCAGTTGTTTAGTCTGTTGTTCTAGAACACACGTGTGGGTTAACATAATGCCAAGGAGAAAAAAAAAATCAGCAGTGATCCTGGAGAAACAACAGTTTCTGGATCAAGAAGTAGATTTCACACACCGCTTTATTTTTTGGGTTTCATTTTGACATGGAATTTGTTTTTTTTTTATGCCCTGACACACGGAAAGAGATCCTAGAATTGATTAAAAAAAATAGAAAAATAGACATTTTTTCCCCATGACTGTAACAGCTACAAAAAGCAAAAAGCCCAGATTTAGTTAGCCACGGTATTCAATWGAATAGAATAGAAGAATAGAAATAGCCTTTATTGTCCCACCGAGGGGAAATTCAGGTGTYACAGCAGCATCAGTACAGAGGTTCACACACTAGTTACTTTACAAACTATAGATAGTACAYACAAAACAAAAATTAACACTGACTASTCATGATWTAACTACTRCTAATAAAAATATAGTATAAAGATTTGTGCAAGAATAGAAAATGATATGTTTTGTTTTAGAGACAGTAGACTAWCAGAATYCGACATCAGGAATCAGAWTTTGTCTGTTTTCARTGCAAAACAATCTCAACAGAYCAATAACTGTAAGGTGAAGCATCACAATGCAGACAAGAAACACAGATGTGCAATTACAGTAGACTAGTAGTGCACATGATTGTTCAGATGAGTAATTACAATGAATAGTAACAGTTCAAATGATTGTGCAGCAGCAGGTGTGTAAACACTTGTGATTTTTGTAAACACTTGTGATTTTTGTAAACACTTATTGTGATTTTCGGGCACGGTGCTGGTTACAGAGCCTGACAACTGCTGGGAAGAAGGATCTGCGATAAGGCTCCTTTGTGCACCTCAGATGCAGCAGTCTGTCACTGAAGGAGCTCTCCAGTTCAGCCACAGCTTCATGCATGGGGTGGGAGACGTTGTTCATTGGTGATGTTATTTTATTCAGAGTTCTTCTGTCTCCCACCACCTGCACTGTGTGGAGGGGGCATCCCAGCACTGCGCTGGCCTTCCTGATGAGCTGTCATTGGGATAGCCAAGCTTTGAAAAATAACATAATGTAGAGTTTAAAGTGAATGATGTTTTTTTTTTCTTTTCAGAGGTGTTTTCACTAAACTAGACAACAAGCCTCCTTCATCTCCCACCTCAAATGGCACAAGGTAAAAARGCAGCTTTGCCTTTAAAAACTCAGTTGATCTCATGAAAAGATCTGAAAAGTTGAAGTTTTGGTTCTTCTCTTTTTGTAATAGTGCCGCAACAAAGCAGTACACCAAAAAAGCCTCAGACAGCTACAAGAAAATGTGAGTGTGGCGATTCAGATTTCCACCTAAGTGCCTACAGCTTGCTGAGATGCTATTTTCATGCGGGTTCCTGTTTGTTCTCCTGCTCCGTAGAGCCCCCCACACTGTGAGGAGCCCAGCGCCGTCYCTGGAGGGCTCACTTAGCCTCGAGGAGCATGAAAAACGGTGAGATGACTTTAACATATTCTGAAAAAAAAATTACATTTGCATCACAATGATTTGTTTTGTAGGACTGAGGCAGCCAGCGGTATTCTGAAGAGGTCGGCGGTCAGGGAACGTTCCTATGTGTTCTCTGCTGCTAAGAAATATGAGTATGCATGTTTTATTTCACTGTTGATAGTTATCGGAAGATTTAACCTGTTTTTTTAAAATGCATTCTGTTTGTATTGAGGTATAAATGAGAGTTGTTTGTGTTTGGAAAAAACCTCAGGGCTAAGGAAGCATCAGCTGAGACGCCACCGGTCAGCAGCAGTACATCATTTGTGGCTAAAAGGTAAACATTGCGTCTGATGTCTCCAAGCCCAGAGCCAAAAGTARCAAACAGAAAACTCTTATTTGTTTCAGTTGTACACTGTACACAAACACATTTAATTATGTGGGCTTTCACAGAGTGCAGATTATTGATGATGATGATGAGGGTGCTGCAACTCAAACACCTGCCAGCACTGTGCAGCCCTCCCCTGTTGTTCCTCCCACATCTGCTGCCTCTGTGCCTGAAACCAAACTGCAAGTAACGTAGGTCTACTTCCACGTTTCAGAATCAGAGCTGCATGGGTTCTGTCGACCTCGGTTTGACTCATTTTTCTGTTTGGATTTCAGAGTCGACACCACCGTTAAAAAAGATGCAGGATTGGCTGTTACAAAGCCAGTGACTCCAAAGGTGGTTCAGGTCACCCCAGAACCTGTAAAAGACCCACTTCCACTGTCTGTTACAAAAACAGACCCTGTCAAAGATGTAAAACCAGATTCTAGCATGGGAAACGTAACTACGAGTGTTCAAGCAGCTCCTAGAGTTCCACAGCCTAAAGAGTCGGGCAGTACTTTGCAGCCAGTTGCTCCAAAGTTAGTTCAGGTCACCCCAGAACCCGCAAAAGACCCAATTCCACTGTCTGTTACAAAAACAGACCTGGTCAAAGATGTAAAACCAGATTCTAGCATGGTGAATGTCACTAAGAGTGTTCAAGCAGATCCTAAAGATTTGGGTATTTCTGGGCAGCCAGTGGTTCCTAAAGTAGTTCAGGTCACCCCAGAACCTGTAAAAGACCCAATTCCACTGTCTGTTACAACAAAAGACCCAGTCAAAGATGTCAGTAAGACTGTTCAAGCAACTCCTAAAGATTTGGGTATTTCTGGGCAGCCAGTGGTTCCAAAGTTAGTTCAGGTCACCCCAGAACCCGCAAAAGACCCAATTCCACTGTCTGTTACAAAAACAGACCCAGTCAAAGATATAATACCAGATTCTAGCACAGTGGACGTCACTAAGAGTGTTCAAGCAGCTCCTAAAGAGTCAGGCAGTTCTGGGCAGCCAGTGGTTCCCAAAGTGGTTCAGGTCACCCCAGAACCTGTAAAAGACCCAGTTCCACTGTCTGTTACAACAAAAGACCCAGTCAAAGATGTCACTAAAACTGTTCAAGCAGATACTAAAGATTTGGGTATTTCTGGGCAGCCAGCGGTTCCAAAGTTAGTTCAGGTCACCCCAGAACCTGTAAAAGACCTGATTCCACTCCCTGTAACAACAAAAGACCCTCTCAAAGACGTCACTAAGACTGTTCAAACAGATACTAAAGATTTGGGTATTTCTGGGCAGCCAGTGGTTCCAAAGTTAGTTCAGGTCACCCCAGAACCTGT